TGGTGGAGCTTGTTGGTGTTGACGTAGGACTTGAGGTGGAACTTGTTGGTGTTGACGTGGGACTTGAGGTGGAACTTGTTGGTGTTGAGGTGGGACTTGAGGTGGAACTTGTTGGTGTTGACGTGGGACAAACACTCAGCCTAACACTTCTTGTTTGTATATGAAATGGTCCTGACCTTGGACCTGACCCTAACCCCAGGACCTGATAGTGTTTCCCTGAGGTTCTAAGTCTTTCTCTGTGTTCAGGTATCGACCCGCCCAGAGAGTCGTTTAACCGCTGGCTGCTGGAGAGGAAAGTGATCGACAAAGGTCAGGACACTTTCCTGCCGAGTGACTGCGACCCGGTCATCTCGCCCTCCATGTTCAGAGAGGTCATGAACGACATTCCCATCAGGTACCCGTCTGCCCGTCTGGACCCAAAGTGTGTCTCCTTAAACCCGCCTCTCTGTTCTAACGTTGAATTGTATTTTATGTGTGTGTCTCAGATTGGCCCGTATTAAATACAAAGAGGAGGCCCGGAAGCTTCTGTTTAAATACGCTGAAGCCGCCAAGAAGATGATCGACTCCAGGTAGGTCACCATCAGAGGAGGGAGTACAAATACTCTGATACTGTACTTCAGTAGATTGTTCTGGTATCAGTACTTTTTACTTCTTACATTTTGAACACAAATACCTGAACTTTCTACTTTTTACATTTTCCAAACAGGCTGGTTACTTTAGTTTCAATCTGCATATGGTATCGTGATCATTATTATTTAGAGTCGTCGCGTGCCTATTTCAATCTTAATGTCATACACGAAACACAATCGGTGTATCCATCCTTTTCCTGGTCTTCTCTAAAGAAGATCGACCAATGACAACTCAGCTCTTTTCCCACCATCCTCGGAGCTATCACAGCTCTGTCCTGTTTATTTCTGCTTTGACCTCTGACCTCTTACCTGCAGGAATGCCAGTCCGGAGAGCAGGAAGGTGGTGAAGTGGAACGCCGAAGACACCATGAGCTGGCTGCGCCGAGATCACTCCGCCAGCAAGGAGGACTACATGGTGAGCAGTTGGTGGTCATTCACGAAGACCCCCTTTTTTTTTTTCATTAATGACTCCTCGATGCACATTCCCCCGCTTATCACACGTCCACATACTAAACACAATAACGACTCGACTCCTCATATTAATGGAAGTGATTTCATGGACTTCAAAATTGTTGTTTTGCTTCCTTGAAGAAAGTAAACTCCGCTCCACTGCTCACCAACGGCTGGACCTCCGACAACAACAAGTGCATTTAAAATGAAGGCAGCTCTGATCCATGTTTTCTGTCCAAGTCTGTTCACAGTTTCCAACAAGTCCATAAACACTACAGAGCCCATACCGTGTTCCAGTTAGTGTTCGCTTCCTGTCTGTCTGCTTCTGCTTAGCAGCGGTCATTATTCTGCTTAGCAGCTGTGCGTTATTGGGTATTCAACTAAGCCCTGTAATAACCTCTAATCCTTAGTCCTTTACAAAAAGAACAGCCACTAGATGGCAGACGTGTCCTATCCTGCAGATTGCAGTGTTCTTCAACCTCTTTGGAGCCATGGTACATTGTTCACATTGAAACAATATTACTAAACCATTGTAGTCTATTATAGCACATGTAATAGGGATGGGAACGATTAATCGAATATTCGAAATTATTCAGTTATTCGAAAATGAGTTATGAATATTTTTACAAGTTATGTTTTAATCATGAAAGCGGTAGGCCTATAGCTGTCAACTGTTCAAAGTGTGATCACCAGTTCAATACATTCGACTTTGTTTCTATACTTATTTGAACATGTATTTATTTATTTTTCAAAATAATTTCATTTATCTTTTCAACATTTTTCCCACGTCTTTTTTTTTTTTTTTATAGGATATGTACATTTCGGTTGGGGGTCGAATATTTGAATATTCAAATATACATTTAGCTTTCAAATTGCCATCCCTAATATGTAATGATAAGTCTCTCAATTTGGCTAGGAGTTCAGCTCCTCAGTAGCTCTTAGAGATTTCTCTGTGCAGTGTTTCTCAAAAATGTCCTGTTTTGAAGTGACGGTGTTGGAGATCACATTTGAGCTAGCTTGTGACCACGGCTTAGATGGCCCTGAGCCCAATAGAGATTTCCCTGAAAAATGCGCGTGGACGAAATGCCACGAAGGGTTTGGGGGGCCTCCCCCTAGAACATTTAGATTTGTGCAGGTCTTAGATGCTGTCTGGTGCATTCTCTAGACTGAATTATAAGATGAACCAGCACAATATTATATTGTTCCATTTCAATTTTATTCTTCATTTCACTTGTTTGTTTGTTCTTGTTTGTGTTTGCTCTCTTGCATGCCCTGCATAGCTATAAGAAATACTTAAGTTGTTGGTCAAGACACTTTCCATCTGATGAAGGCAAATGCCTTCATCAGATGGAAAAAAAGTAGAAAATATTACATTCAGTTGTAACTGCCAAAACAAACATTATTTACACTATTATGGCCCCTGTTCAAAATGCTTGTAATGTTATCTACTGTAAGTTGGTCGAACGAATGCCTCCTCATCCGGAAGCTGACCGAGCAGACCCGAGCAGCAGTCGAGAGGAGCCGAGCGCATCCGAGCGCATCCGCGAAGCACACAAAATGGTGACGTCAGAGTTCCCGTTAGCCGGCAAATCTAAATCTCTTCGGTCAAAATAATTTCCCTTTAGCGCAATACCGCTTCAGTTGCGCCACTTATGTGACAGACAAGAAGAGTATGTGACAGACAAGAANATTAAAATAGCCCAATTGCTTTTACAATAAATAAACATTGAATGTGTTTAATTGAATAGTAAAGGGGTTTAACGTTAGTGGCAGGTTGTGTGTGAGAGAGAATAAATAAAACAGCTCTATATTTTAAAAAATTGTTATTCTTTTTCCCCTCATATTTCGCAACTTCCCGCAATTTCACCGCATAAAATCACATAAAACCCGCATGTTTAATCGCATAATCAAGGATTTTTGCCCGCGTTTTTCTGGAGGGTCTAACTACTCCTCCCACTACATGACTGTGTGTCTGTGTGCTTTCAGAGACGAGATGTACTACCGGGCGGTCCACGGCACTGCAGTTATTTTCCTCCAGAACGACGCTGGTTTTTCTAAGTGGGCTCCGACCCCTGAGC